TCTTCCGATTGAATAATAAAATTTGTCTAAATTTATGATTTTTAACTAATAGTAAAGAATACTAATTAACAAAATCAACATTGATTAATACTAGTGATAACAATTTGTGTTCTTTAATTAAGGTATTCAAAGTTCAAATTCTCATCCTTAGTATGAAATAGATTATATTAATTAAAAAGATAATGTTTATTTTGTATATATTTATGGTCTCTTGAGAATGGAGATTAGTTATCTTTTTGATAATGCATACTTTATATTAATGTCAATTAAAATTTTTTTTTTAACAAAACAGCACAAGATTCTCATAATCAATCATATATCTTAAAAAAAAAAAAAATAGAAATCTTGTAGGTCCAATTAGCTTAGCTAGCTAACATTCTAACAAAGCTTTCTATGTTGGAACTTTTCAGGGAGGTTGTTGGAAAATACACACGAGAATTGAAGAAACTCGCTCTTAAAATTTTGGAGGTGCTTTGTGAAGGGTTGGGGCTGAAGCCAGGATATTTCTGTGGTGGACTAAGTGAAAATCCAGCAGTGTTGGTTCATCACTACCCTCCTTGCCCTGACCCAAGTTTAACATTGGGCTTAGCTAAACACAGGGACCCTACCATCATCACCATTCTGCTTCAAGATAAAGAAGTACAAGGACTTCAAGTCCTCAAGGATGAGGAATGGATTGGGGTTGAACCTATTCCCCATGCTTTTGTGGTTAACATTGGTCTACTCTTGCAGGTTAATTATATTTAGAGACAAGTCTTCTATTCCCACATTCAGCATATTATTATCATCATTTTCTGTTTTGGCTAACTATATATTGATGTGAAATATTTTTAAAAAAATTTTGATCGAATATTTTTAGTAAAATCTCTTTAATCAATATCACTTTTTTTTAACATAGAAGACTCAAATCTAAAACTTTTTATTATTAACATAAAATATTTGTCGAAAAACTTGATGGATTATTTTTTTTTTTATAGAATCTCTTGTAATTTCAGTTACATTTTTTTTCTTCACAAACTGTAATCCAAATAGAGTTAACATGTTCCCCATACTGATATCTTGTTGGTTGCTAATTCCTTCTCATTTAACATACCTTTCATCTACATTACCAAAGAGTATTTTTTATTCTTACGATATTAATTGTTAATTTGAAAAAGTCGTAATGTAACGCATTAAGCAAGAGTAATTTAATCATGTTGTCATCCATGCAAGTTGCGAACCTTCTAGCAAATAATCAAATGATAATTTATTTTATCTTAATATTGATGCTAGTTAGGAACAAAATGACTTAATATAATATATATAAAGTCATTGTCTTGGATTTATATATATACACGATACTAATAACTTTTAGTTAATGTCTTAAATTTAACTCATTTAAAGTGAGAAATTCACTAATATAGTGGGTAATTTTTGATGTTGATGAAAATATTAATGGTTGATATTCTAACATCTTTATGATTAATTATGGATATGTGTACATAATATTAACCATTAATTTTCTTATCATCAAACGTTAAGACGTTATCCTCTAGAATGAATGAATTACAAAGTCAAGTCAATGTTGTTATTACTTCTTTATGAGAAACTGTAAATGTTTAACTTAATTGTCAATTGATAATATAATTTGCAGTAAAGTTTGATCATTTGCTATGTGGCTCTTATAGATCATCACTAATGGAAGACTAGTTGGTGCTGAACACCGAGCTGTGACAAATTCGAGTACTGCACGCACAAGTGTTGCCTATTTTGTCTATCCATCATTTGAAAGCATCATAGAACCTGCACAAGTTTTGATCAATGGAAACACTCCACCAACATATAAATCCATGTCATTCGGAGAGTTTCGAAGAAATTTCTTTCAGAAGGGTCCTAAGATTGAAGAAGAATTGCAATAAAATGTCCATATATAAACATCCAAACGGACAGAACATATTAAAGTACAGCATATATATGCATATGATATAAAGTTCACTGTTCAGCCATGTTGCTGATTATGACCTTGAAAATTTTGCTATTAATGTTATTAGTGTATATGTAGTCTTATATTTAATATATTCCCTCTCGTGCATACGTTCCTTGTTTATATATATATATATATATATATATATATATATATATATTAAGAGAGAGAAATAGAGAGAGTAGCAGGAATCTACTTACTCCAACACTAAGTTTAGTTAAACTTATTTCATTAAATAACTCATGTTCTACACTAAATTTTAACGATTCAACTGTTAAATTAAAAAATTTTAATGTATAGATCAAGTCTGCAAAATTTTTAAAAGCTTTAAAAATTATTTAATACTTCATTTCATTAATTCAAATTGACAAATAATCATAAAAATATTTTATATATTGATTTGAATTTATATAATAGAGTATCAAATAGTTTTAAAATTTTAAAACAAAATTGTAGACTTGATCTATTTAAGAACTTTTAATTCAACAATTGGATCGTTGAGATTCGATGTAGAACATGAGTTATTGAGTAGAGTAAGTATAGGTAAATTTACTCTTAGAATAAGTGAATCCCTCCTCAAATATATAGATATATAGAGATCAAATGACATGGATGTAATTTTTATTAATTATTATACCGCTTAATAACTTTATATTAAATGTGAATTTATTAAAATTTACTTCAAGAGTAAGTCATGGTGGAGTTACTCAATTCTAACAAATGATTTACATTAAATTTCATCAATTCAACCATTGAATTAAGAATTTTTAATGAATAAATCAATTCTAATTTTTTTTATAAAATTTGAAAATCACTTAATACTTTGTTATATTAATTCAAATTAACATTAATTTGAATTTATGTAATGAAGTATTAAATGATTTTCAAATTCTATAAAAATTTGTAAACTTTATCTATTCATTTTAAACTTTTAATCCAATAGTTGAATCATTGAAATTCATTCAAATTAACATTAATTTTAATTTATGTAACAAAGTATTGAATGATTTTCAAATTCTATAAAAATGTTTAGACTTTATTTATTCATTTAAAACTCTTAATAGTTGAATGGTTAAAATTCAACATAAGTCACGAGTTATTGAGAGAAATAACTCTTTCAAGACTTACTTTTATAGTAAATGAATCTCACACACAAACACACAAGCACACATAGACACAAACACACAAATATACACACACACAAACAAATAGACAGACAAGTTTACAAACATACACATAGACACACACAGACACACAGACATAGACACATACACACACAGAGATAGACAGAGACACAAACACAGATACACACACAAAGTTAGGATCCATTAACATTAGGTGTAAATATAAAAGTTTACACCAAATCCTATAACTTCAATAATTTTTTGTATAATACAAATTTAATCAATCCAACTATTGAATTATGTTATATTATACTCAAAATCGTTTATATCAAATTTCACATAATTTGAAATTTTCTATTTATGTCATCCAAAAATAGATATTTACACATGTTTTAAATATTATATTATGCATTAAAGAAAACAATGTCGTGAATTACTAAATAAATTTGAAATAATGTGAGATTTCATATACATGATTTAAGTATAATATCATATAATTAACGTTTCAATCAATTAAATTTGCATTATATAAAAAATTATTGGATTTATAAGATTTTGTGTAAGTTTTTTACTTTTTAAACTTATACCTAATAAAGAGAGAGAATGTGTGTAATGTAGTAAGTTGGTTCAGGGTTTAAGTGGATGGTAGAGAGAAAAGTATTTAAGGTTTTCTCTGAGAAGGGAGCCTCATAAGCTCATTCTCAAAAAAAATCTAGAAAGAAGTTTTAGAGAGAAGGACTCTAGGTTCGTGAGCTTCTTTCTCTCCCAAATTTCTCTGTTTGATTCTTCTTCTTTTCTATATCACTAACTCCTTCTGTCTTTTCTTGGAATTCAGGCTAGGAAACTTATTTTTGGAGGATTGAAGTCCGTGGGTCGAGCTTTGGAGGAATTTCTTATTCTCAAATTCTTGGCTGTTTTGAGCCAATTTTTAGGTGAGGAAAACTAAAATGTAGTTTGTTTGGTTGCATACGAGTTTAGGAACTCAATTTATGCATGAATTTTGAGAATCAAGGGTTGTATTGAAAGATTCCTCATTTTCAAGGTTTTTGGGAAAATTTGGGGTTTTGATGATTTTGATGCATCAGGTGGGTGCATGTTGAATCTGAAAGTGATTTCAGATTGTATGGAGTCTATGTATTACGTTGTATGGATTGCATGTGGCTGGATTTTCTGATTTTCTAGTGTTAGAGGAAATTTTCAAAGTTTTGGGGGTGGCTGTTTGAATTTGCGTCAGGAGCATGTTCTTGGCACCGGGCGTGCATTCATCAGAGGCAGCTATTATGACCCGCCAGGTCTCACACTGTCTATAGCTTCCAGATACAAATATAAAATAAAATATCACCACTAAACAATTATATATATAATGAGAATACACAACTGAAAAGTCCCATAATATATATAATTGAAAGTAGGGAATAATACCCTAAACAACAACTACGTAGTCAAATGCTACTGTAGACACCCAATTTCGTCCGGGCTCACAAAAGCAATGAAATAGAGTCTATTATCAAGGATAACAGCTCCCGAAGCATGGAAACAACAGGACATGACATCAGAAGACCTAAAGCCTAAATAACCTGGTTTTAGTAGCCTAGAACGGCCTATTCCAAGACCGAAATGGGCCGTTCCCAAGATCGAAACGGTCTGTTCCCAAAACGGAACAGCCCATTCCAGAACAGGTTGTTTTAAGCAAGATTTGAACCCAGACGGGCCATTTCGATTTAGGAACGGGTCGTTCCAAATTCTTATTTTACCCATACCAGACTTGCTCAAAACGGGTCGTTCTAAATCGGGAATGGGTCGTTCCAAATCATCAAATGGGCCTAAAACCCTAGTTTGGAACGGGCCGTTCCGGAATAGCTTGTTGTAAGTAAAATTTGAACCCAGAACGGGCCGTTCCACCTTTGGAACGGGTCGTTCCAGATTCTTATTTTACCTATAATGGACTAGCCTAGAACGGGCTGTTCTGATTCCGGAACGGGCCGTTCTGGCCCCCTTCTGATGCCTATAAATAGATAGCTCGGGCACAGTTGTCAGGGCCTCAAAAATTTCGTCCAAAACTCCTGAGAGCTTAAAAAAAAATTTCTCTCTCTCTCCTATTGTATTTCTTGAGTTTTGTGAGGCATATTGTAGTGTGAAAGGTTGCTGCAAAGCACCTAAAATCTCCATAGTTGAAGATCTAATAAAGCTTGCTACGAGGTATTACTCATTAATCTCTTGTTCTATCTTTCCCTTCTTTTATTTCATATATTGTTATAATAAACGCAATCATGTAGATATCTTAGGGTTCATCGTGTAATTTAATTTTCATGTAAATAATCATTAATAAAGGGGATTAAATACTTAAACTATTAATTCTTATTACGTTATCTTCATCATAGGGTACCGATTTAGGGCATTGTAGGGGTGCTTAATACCTTCCCTACACGTAATCGACCGCCAAATCCAATTCTGGTTATCAAGGCCATTATTGGACCTTAAAAAAACCTTTTCTTTTTCCAATGTTTTGAGTAAAACATTAATTGGTGGCGACTCCATGAACCTATTTTTAAAACCATCGATCAAGGATTAGTCTGGTGTCTGGGCATTCTTTAATTGATGAGATTTTCAAAGGATGTCTAAACCATAGGCTGCAAGATCGAAAATTTTTGGGTTGCGACAGGGAAAAAGAAAAAGAGCAAAAGTTCCTACTAGGATACGTTCTATGCAAAAACTAGGGATTAAAAAAGATAAAAAGTAGCAAGCGATGACTATAGAAGTTGAAAACTAAAAAAATAGTTTGAATAATTTTTCAAGAGGCCAGGGTTCTATAAAGATTCTGCCCAAGACTCAGACATGTAATCTAGGATAATTAAGAGAATGATTATACTTATTTTCCAAAGAAGTGTTTCTTTAAAACTTAAACACTAACTTACCTCGACCATCCATTATTTCTAAATACCTATTGTATTCCTTCATGTATAAAGATTTTGAAATCAATAAAATATCTTTTTCTTTCTTTCCTGTTGTCCAATTATAATGACGTGTGTTGTTGATGGTTGTCAAAAAATCAAACAAGTCAAAAGAAAAAGAGAAATAATAATAATATAAAGAAGAAGAAAAAATGGTGACCCACTAGATTAAAAACCTATAAAGGGCAGCCTAGGCAAAAGTTAGGGATTTCTATATATAGCAAAAATCATGCATCATAACCTTTAGTAAAATAAAAAAAAAAACATGATAAAATTTAGGCAGAAAACAAACATCATGCATCTCGTAGGATAATACATTAGCATACACTCATTAGAAATGGGAGGCACATATAATAGTATGCAAAGATGTTCTCTAAACAAGAATCAATGAGAATAATATTCATTGAATTTCTCAAGTGTCTTTGCATTCTATTTTACGTTCCATATAGATATCACGCCTTCCTTGTAACCGACCCCCGAACCCAATTTTGGTTATCAAGGCCATTATTGGACTTTTAAAAAACTTTTCTTTTTCCAATGTTTTGAGTAAAACATTGGTGGCGACTTCATGAACCCATTTTTCAAAATCATTAATTAAGGATTAGTCTGGTGTCCAGGCATTCCTTAATTGATGAGATCTTTAAAAGGATGTCTAAACCATAGGTCGCGAGATCGGAAATTTTTGGGTTGCGACAGCTACCAAACAACTAAATACAACGTCAGCCCTCCTCCTGAGTCCCAACCAAAAAAGAAGCTCACCCAGTCCAGCATAGCACCTAATCCTGATCTGCTCGCATACTAAGGTATGGTTATCGTAGTCCCAACCACAAGGGAAAACATGCTAGGGTAAGCTCACAACAATAATTATAAAAAAATAGTATCAACATATAATAAACAACAATAGAATTCTACTTTTAACTTGCAACTTAAAGCAACACAACATATACAACAATAGATATACAACATCATCTAATAGAAACAACATTTTTAACACATCGTATTTTACTCAAATTGGCCGC